GCACCGCCTGGTCACGCGCGGCGGCTCGCCCGGCTGACTCACGCCCCGTGCTGCCTTTGCACAAACTCATCTCATCCTCCGGAGCCTTAGTCTGTTCTCCTTGTCCCGCTTCTTAAGAATAAGTATGAATTGGTTGAAAAAGTGCTCCTGGTCCTTCCTTTTTTGAACAAGTCGAAACCTCTGATCCCGGCCATATTTCTCAGCAAACTCCTTAAACGTGGTCCTGAAAAAGAAAGAGTTTCCTGAGACACCTGCCCTGACAGTGAGCTCTGGTGCAGCTGAGCGTCGCATGCGGGCGTTGCCTGAGATGGCAGGAAGCAGGGGCACCAGGCAGACCTGTCGGCTGCAGAGCCAAGGGGGGACACAGGCAGGTGGGCAGGCTGAGGCCATCAGCTCTGGGCCCGCCCACGGCTCCTGTGCTGGGCCTCCCTCCCCACCTGGGTCCTGCAGGGTCCTTGTCTCTGCACTCACCGGCCTCTGCAGGATCATGGACATGGCAGCCACCGCCCACCCTCCCCATCGCTGCGTCTGCCATTGAGTCTTCTCCAGTCTGACCCCTGCTCCCCACGCGCTCCTACTGCCACCGTCACTGCACGCGCTGCTCCCTCAGCCTGACACACCCCTCCCTAACTTCTCCACCGGGTCAGCACCCACTCATCACCAGAAGCTTCCCAGCGCCTCGCCTGGGAAACTCGTCCTAGTGGGAGGATCAGAGGATTGTGAATGACTCTCCCCAGCCCTCGTCACAGCTGTGACTTCATTCAGCCTTTCTTGTGCAGTGTGCCTTGTCTCTGCCCCCTGATCCTTTGTTCTCCACTGAACTCCCTCAATGTCCAGCCCCATGGCCAGCTTGGAGTGGCAAACACACTGATGGGGTGACAGCACCAGGCCAGCGCACCCTGTGAGCAAGCCTGGGTGAGGCCAGCCCAACCAGTGAGGCCACGCTCTCCAGGGTGGGCCAGAAACAGCGGTCACCTTCGCAGTGGCATATGGAACCTCCCCAGGCACCAGTCCCCATAACGTCCTATCCTCCTAGGCTCGAACACGAATCCAGGGACAGGGCGACAAGGCTGGGGGTTGCTGTATGTAGCCAAGTCCAAGGGTGCCTGGAAAATGCATCCACGTTTTGTCCAGGGCACTCTTGTGATTCCCCAACCACTCTCCACAGAGAATTTTACATTTCCTCTTGCACTTTTAGTTACTGTGTTGCATTGTTATAACCGAGTGGCTTCTTTATACTTGGACCACAGGCCACACTGGTGTGGCTGTTAGAAGACAAGACAGACAATCTGCAGATTCACGCTCACTGTGGTCACTGAGCAGGCTCATTTTCTCCTGGTCGAGCTGCTTTTCTCCTGCTCATAGTCTGTGGGTGCTGGTCTATACCTCTCCTGAAAGTAAAGCATGTGTCTCTGGTTTCCTGTCCCTCTGCCTCCATCCTTCCTTTGTAGCACTGCCCGCAGGCCACAACCTGGCTGACACGCTCGCCCATGCTTCTGCCGGGAGCTGCATGTGAACAGGACAAGGACCAGCATCACCCTGAGTGTGGGACCTCCGCGCTTGTCCAATGGGAGCTGAGCATTTTCATCTAGGGGCTGGGCAGGGGCAGCTCCTAATCAGGCCCTATTCTGGGCTTCTCTGAAAAGAAGCGTCCCTGAAACAGAAAGGGAATTAAAACTCTCTGTGGCCCCTTAGCCATGCCCAGGGGACAGCACTGGCTTTCTGCAGTCACTGGCGAGCTGTCATGGGTTCTGGGGAAGCCTTTGAGTCCTGGGCACTGCACCCCTCTTCCTCCCTGGTAAGTGGGGTTACGGGCCAGCCTGTGCTGAAGGAGGGGCCACCGTGGCCTACCCAAGGAGTACCAGAGCGCCAACACATGGCTGCTCCAGCAGCCCATGGGGCGCCCTGCGTCGCCTCTCCCACGGCTACCACCATGCACTGGGAGTGCACTGGAATGTCCCTATGGCCACCGCTCCTGCAGACTTGTCAGGAGAGAGGCTGAGATGGGCGACCAGACGCAGGATGCTCTGCAGAGCCAAGAGGCCCCTCGAGACGGCCCGTGCGTAACCCGCCTGGCTACCTAGTGTGCAGGGATTCGACCTGTACGTGTTTTACTAGGATGCCTGTGCATTAGCAGAAAGAAAATGTAAAGGAGGTCTGCATGGAGGCTTTTGAAAATGCTGCAGACTTAGCTAACTTTAGAAATAAGAAGTAGCTGTACACTTATAAAAGTAGGATATGCCAAGTGTCAATTTTTTGAAAATGTTAATTTGCTACCCTATACTAACCATTTTACCATCTCCATGTATCCCATAACATATACCTTAGATATACACAGTGAAATCTGTTTTAAAAACAGCAGGCAATTAGATCTAATTTTAGGAAAGGGTGAGTTAACTCCCTTCTGACATCTTTCACTCGTATTTCCCAGCTCTGTGCATGTGTGTGAGATCTTTTCCTAGTTGCTCAGTACGTTCTGAATATTTCCTCCTTTGTCTGCAGAATATATTCATGGGGAGGGGAGTATGTTGGCTAACTGCTAACCCTTTACCAATAGATAGAGAATGCCAGCTAAGTGTCTTCGTCATCATAGTGGCAAAGGTGGCAGTAACGACGGCTGACATTCGCTGAGCACCTCCTGGCTGCCAGGTACCATCAGGATCCCTGTGCACAGCCCCTCCGCCATCCTCCTAGCAGCTCTAGGACACAGTAGCACATAAAAGCCCAACACCTCACTCCATGACCAGCGCTGGGAAGGGCCAGCCTGCCCTGGCATGAAGTGGGTGGGGAGCTCCAGACTGATTCCCTGAACCCCCGTTCCGTGCCTCTCTCCTAGTGGCAGACACAGCTAAGCCACAGCTAGAACCCAACGTTCTTGTGCCTGTTTCAACCATAGACAGTGACAATCTACAAATGATTAGCATTTTTTGATAAGGATAATTTGTGCTAATTTCTTCCCATTCAATAAGTATCTGTCCTTTTCAATAGTTGGAGAAGTTTTATGAGGACTGTGCAACCAACACTAACTTATGTTACTCAATTATTGACCAAGAGAATTACAGAGCAAATTGTGGAAGTCTGTGTCTTCTTAGAAACATCAAGTAATGCCCATATAAAAAATAAACGTTGCACGTTCCAATCTAAAATTTAAAATACCTTAAAATCAATCATTTTTATATGTATAAAAGTGATAGATTTATAGTTCTAAAAGAAGTATATGTTCATTATTTTTAAAAAATCAGTCAAAGGTAATTTTAAAGAAGAGTTAAACTTATGTACTTTTCCAGTTTCTAACACCCACTTTCCAATTACTTTGTTGTATTTTATGGAAATACTGCCTTATTTGTTATATTAGCTGAGTTTTTTGTGCAGCCAGGGTGTTGGTGACGTAATAGAGAAGTCAGGTCTCTAACGTGGACACTCGTGGTGTCTGTGGAATGCTGGGTGACAAGGTCTACCAAAGACAGACTTCGAAAGGCCTCTGGGATAATGGGTAAGTTTCCAGCCCGCAAAATCACCTAGTGTATTTTTCTCTCCCTACCTGGGTGACACTTTAGATTCCTCTAGAAGCTTTTTGAATTCTTCTTTGGCTAGCAGCAGTTTACTTTTCTTTTCCTTGTATTCTTCTTTTATTCTTGTCTTGACGAACTGCTCAAATATCTTAAAACACATACACAAAAGGAGAGTGTTATGAAATTTGCATACCAGAAATGAAATTTTGTATTGCAAACACAACATGAAAACACAGCAAGAATTTGAAGCACGCTATCTTTTCATGGTTGCTGGAGCCACAAGCAACATCCCTTCAATTGTGGAGCTTGCAATGAAGCCAAGTCACCTATATAATTAAACCTGGACTCCCACAAGGACCAACACGTGTCTCCACTTAGATGCATCATTGCTGGGTCAAACCTTCAATCAGCCCTGCTTGAGAAATCCTGGGAATAGTTGGCGGCCCTCCCTGCAGGTGTCGTGGAGGGAACTGACAGTGTGGAAACCCTGACTCTGATGCCACAGTGTTTCTCATCTGGGGCTCTCTGAGAAGCATTTATAGTGTTGTTGACTTTCACATCACTGCTGGTAGTATCAGGAACACGTTAGACACTTAATTGGCTCTGGTCACTTCCCATGGTGACATAATTGGCACTGGAGTCTCCAAAAATGACTTTAAATAGTGAAAATAAAGTAAATCCAGCATCTCTGATTTCCTGCACTCGAGTTTCCAGGAAAACCATTTCTGAGTGTGGGAGTCTGGTGTAGTGGGGTCGCAGAGGATATCAGGGACCTCGTGGTTGCTGGCGTGGATTGTCCTGATGGAAATGGCCAGTGAGTAAGGAAAGCTGGCCTCAGACACTGTGCACACTCTAGCTTGACCAGGAGCACGTTCTGATGCTGACCCAAACAGGAAACCCCGTTCCTAAGTGGAGGACATGGCAATCCTCCACCAGGCAAATCCATTCAAGACTCTAGGGAATGTTCTCTTGGAAGCTGGCAGTGACATCACGAGATGAAATCTCTCCAATAATCCATGGCATGGCCCTATTCTTCATCAGAGTGAGATCGCTCATTCTTGTAACATCAGAAAAATGGTCTTTTATGGACTGCAAAGTCCAAGTAGGGGGAGGGGCAAAGATGTTTCATTCCCAATGCTACCTGAGTGAGCCTCAAGGACATCATAAGAGACAAACTGAAGGTAATTGAGATGTCTATGCAAACAAGTAAAGATATCAGTAAAAAGCCACATATGATCCTATAAGGCCAATCAATACCAACTCTGCACCAATCTCACTGATGGCCCACAAGGCGTGGATCGGGCCCACCTCCAGCGTTCCCACCACGCGGTGGAGCTGGGAAAGCGAGGACGGTGGCCGACTGAAGCTGGACCCCTTCAGCAGTTCAGAAGTGGCTCTCTCTTGACTCTGTCCGTCATTTCAGTTTCCATTTCAGTAGCGGCAAACCTTTACAGTTTCATGAATACAAAACGCTACTCGCCTCGAGAGCAAGACTTAAACGTGGAACATGTGCACATATATTTGAGTAAGATTATGATTGGCTTGTTCTACCCACAGGCAAATAGTAACGTAAGATCTCCAGTTGTCCTGTAATTTAAACTCATAAAAAAGGTGAATGCAGGGTTGTTATCCAAGTAAGAGCGTGTGGCTCCGTCATTAGCCAGGGTTTTGCTCTATTAATCTTAAATCTGGGTAGAAAGCCTGGCTGGCTGTGGGGTCAGAGCTTTTGAGAAATACTTGCTCCAGCTTTTAAGAAATACCTGCTCCTCTCTCTGCTTAGAGCCGTTTATCCGTCCAACCACATTTTTCTCTCTGTCCTCTGCCTTTGCTCTGTCACTTTATTTATGCTGCTATAATTTGATGTAGCAGGTTTTTATTCCTCTTTAGCAAATTATGCCAGTTTTATCCAAAGGGGGGCATGACTTTTTAAAAGACATATTATTGGCCATTATCTCATTGCTGGATGTTCTAGTGGAGTGAAAGGAAGTCTATTTGTTGCCATAGAAACGGGTCTGGCTCTCACTCCCTCGGCCCCCACTCTCTGTTTAGCATCCCTGTCTTCTCCTTTGCAGCCCCCGAGAACAGGGCTGGTTGTGATTTCCACATCAATGGCCTCAGCTCTCCCCAGGAAACCCCTGGGGGACAAGAGGTTCTGCGGGAGTCGTGTCTGGGGTTCCTGACCGGTTCATTTGCACAGAGGACTGTGCTTTCTAAACGGGGCCCATGTGTCATTTCTTCCCTCAGCTCATCCTGTCCCCTCCTCTTGTCACTGTCGTGCAAGCCAGTCAACCCCTGTTTTCCTGGTCATCCCAAAGACGGGACTAAGGCACCAAACCTGGATTGCTGGAAGGGGCCTAACCATAAATGGGCTCTTCTATCGGGGATGAGGGTGGTCTTACTTCTTCAACTCCCTTTGAATGGCCTCCGAAAACATCCATGGCATAAAGCAATCCACACAACAAACACGTCCAGCACGGACGGTTTTCAGACAGGGACCAGTTCATGGCTCTTCACTACGGCATAAGGTGATTCCCTCATATAAACAAACAGGCTTCGTACTATGTGTTTTCATAGCTAAACTTTTTGATTTTTCATATTGCAACAAAAGGGTGAAATATTACCAATTATTAAAATCCACAGTTTTCCTTAGCTATAGAAAACATACATATGTATAAACATATATATATATATATAAATTTATATATATGCATATATACATATATGAAGCCCAAACTCAGCTTACTCTACTGTAGCATTATTATGGGCTGTTGCTAGCACATTACATGTATTTTGAAATGTTTCTTTCTGGAAAATGAAATTCAGCTAAAAGGCAACAATATATGATTAATTCCTAGTTCTTGAGAGGTCCAAGTCGGCACTCTAATGTGGTCAGTCCCAGGACCCCATTATGCTCCCCAGCCCCCCTCCCCCCGAGGCTGCTGGAGGGACTGTCCAGTTCCAGCTGGACAGGGGGTGGGGGTGGGGCGGGGTGGGATGGGATCGGTGGCTGTGTCAGACATCAAAACAACTGACACTGTGCGTGGTTGGGGCTTCATTGATGTCATCTCAGCTGTTTGCTGAAAGGAACTTTATGAGCCAATGAGAGAACCAAAAAGAAAATTGCAATTTCCATACTCCTCGCCGCGGCTTGATCAGACTCTGCTCCCTGAGAAAGCTGGTGGAGAGCACGCAAGTTCCCGGTAACAGAGGCCTCCCCTCCAAAGGGCTGTATCTCAGGGCCCTGCTCAGATGTTCTCCCGGACTGCACGGACCCCTGGCTGGGCACAGGGGCTGTGTGGGCTAATGGCACTGTGCCGTCAGTCCCTCCCCAACTACAGCAAACCCCTCCCGTGACCCAGGCAACTCAGTTTGTCCTCTACCTGTTTACTCTGGAAACAGTGTTGTCTCAGTAACCAAGTGTAGTGGATTGAATTATGTCTCCCCAAAACTCCCTGAAGTTTGAATTGTGTCCCCCAAGAACAGCATGATGTAAAGCCAGAATTTAAAAGAGAAGCAGAGCATAAAGATTTGGAAAATTTGCAGCCTGGCCATGTGGTAGAGAAGCAGAGAGCATGCAATGGTGCAGCCCAGAGACCATTAGCTAAGAAAATTAGTACAAAGGAAAGGGACTATAAAGAAAAGAGGAAAAAGAACCCGAAGGCATTGCAGAAGCCTCTGGGACCAATTCTTCTATTTCAGGCCCACAGACCTAGGGAGACAGAATGGTCTTGGGGAATAGGCCTGAGGCACCCTCCATGAGCTCACTGCCCAGGGCCACCTCAGGAAACTGCTTCCAGCACCAGCACCCCAGCTGCTTTGGCTACTCCAGCCATGGCTAAATTGCCCCCAGGTGTGGCTGGACATGCAGCTTTGGAAAATACAAGCCAGAAGCCTTGGAGGTATCCATGTGGTGTTAGGTCTGCAGGCTTGCAGAATGCTAGAGCTGTGGAGGCTTCAGAACCTCCACCCCAATTTCAGAGGATGCAAGGAAAAGTCTGGGGACCCAGGAAGAGATCTGTCACAGGGGTGGAGTCACTGCAGACAACATAGAGCAATACTGAGTGGAAACATGGGGTCAGAGTTTTGCAGCAGAGAAACCCCATCAGTGCCATGTCTACTGGAGCTATGAGAGTGGGACCACCATGGAGACCCCAGACCTGTGGAGCTACCAGTGTGCAATTGCAGCCTGAGAGAGCTAAAGCATCACCTGAGATCGGGAAAGCCACAGGAGCAGAGCTGCCAGAGGACTTTGGGGACCCAACCCCCACACCAGTGTGCAGAGGACATTGAAGAGAGAGTCAAGACAAGATTCACCACCTTTAAGGTTCAATGCATGTCCTGCTGGGTTTCAGACTTGTTTGGGACCTGTTACCCCTTTCTTTTGGCCTATTTCTCCCTTTTGGAATGGGAATATGTACCCTATGTTTTCCCCACCATTGTATCTTGGAAGTAGATACTTTGTATTGATTTCACAGATGGGATTTTGAACTTTGGACTTTTGAGTTGAAACAAGTTAAGACTTTGGGAATGAAATGAATGCATTTTCATATGAAAAACATGAGTTTTGGGGGGCAAGGGGTGGAATGTAGTAGATTGAATTATGTCCCCCCAAACTCCCTGAAGTTTGAATTGTGTCCCCCAAGTTTTATGTGTTAGAAACTTGGCCCCCACTGTGACTGTTAAGAGGGTGGGAAATCCTGTTATGGTCATTGAAAGGTGGAGCCTTGCTTGAAGAGGTGATTGGATCGTAGGACCGTGCAGTAGTGAGTGGATTAAAAATGATGGTCAGGGGCGTGGTTCTGAGGGCTTTAAAAGGAGAGGAGAGTCTCTCTCTCTCTCTCTCTCTCTCTCTCTCTCTCTCTCTCTCTCTCTCCTTCCACCATCTTGCAATGTGAGACCCCTGGGTCACTGTCGCCACCACCAGATGGACTTTGGACTTCTCAGCCTCAGAAACTGTAAGCAATAAATGTCATTTTCTTTATAAATTGCCCAGTCTCAGGTATTCTATTACAGCAACACAAAATGGACTAAGACACCTAGTTTGTACGAAAGCTGGAGCAGGCCCCTGCCAAGTCTCTCTTTAAAATGCCCTCCAGGCGCCCACCTGGAACCCATCCCTTGCTTTTCTGGGACCCCATTTCTTGAATCTCCGTCATTTGCTTATACTGCTATTGTTTTCTGGACCTCTCCCATTTCACTGTTGTTCTATGGGACCTTAAGTATATAAAACCTTAAGGTCTTACATTATCTAAGACCTCCTATTTCATTACTATTATGAGTCCTTAAGTATTTAGTATTTTAACACATTATTTTACAGTCATCTGGAAGGTGGTTAACGTTCCCAAAATCTGCGTTTTCATCTTTGAATATGAGTATTTTTCTTATGGGGTCATGACCTAATGGAACAATTACCAGAATAACCTCCTTCTGTGCCTTTAAGTCTTGCTCTACAAGCCCACGGCTAGAGTACTCAATCTATAGCCCACTCCCACTAACAACAATAGGGACGGCAGCCCTCTGTTCATCAGCAGCGAGAAGCCTCCCTCCATCCCTATCATGCCAGGTCTGTAAAGTCCTTGTCCCTCCTTCCTGTGAAGTTACCTGTTTTCGTTCCTCAGAGTTTAGTAGCAGATAGCGTGGGTCAAACACAATTTTATGTAGTTCTTTCTCCCACGTAGAAAATGCTGACACCTGAAAAAAGATATTCAATAGAGTTGCTCTTAGAGTCTAGTGCCGACCCTGGAGTCACACTGAAATGATCAATAGTAAAAAAACAGCACTAAGGTAAAAGGATTCAGTGAGGCGGTGTTGCATGATAGTGTTAGACGCGTCAAACTTTCTAAGAAAATCAATACTTAGAACATCACCAAATTTAATTTCTAGACTCATGACTCAGGACTCTTTCTTCCTTGGGCGTCTTCCAGGACTGCACCCCTGATCTGAAGCCCTGATGATATCTGCGGATGTGTCACATTCTGAAATATTCCACCTTCGGAGGAGAAATGATACATGGAAAAGTTTTCAGAACCCCACAGACCATAACAGAGGGTAATGTCTTACGATGGGATGAGCTTAGCTTTATTTTAGTTGAATTTTAATCAACACTTAACCTTTTCTTAGGTAGGTAGATTTTTAAAATAAACTATTTTATTTTGCAATAGTTTTAGATTTCCCGAAGAATAGCGAGGTTGTTACAGAAAGTTATCACAGACCCCTCACTCAGTTTCCCATATTGTTAACATGGTAGCCTGCTAGGTTTATCAACAGTAATATTAACAGAAGTCCACACTTTAGTGAGATTTTCTCAGTTTCCCCCCAGTGACGTTTTTCTGTGCCAGGAGACCATGTAACATTTAGTCTCACGTCTCCTGAGTCTCCTCTACACTGTGACAGTTTCTCAGACTCTCCTGTTCCTGATGCCCTTGACCGCTGAGGGGCGGTGCTCAGTCCTACTGTGGAATGCCCCCTACGGGGCTCGTCTGAGGTTTTTCTCATAAGTAGACTGGGGTGAGGGGGTTGGGAGGAAGACCACAGGGGTGAACTGCCGTCCTCATCATGTCACAGTGAGGGTGCGCAGCATCAGCACGACGTGTCCCTGACGATGCCGACCTCGACCGCCTGGCTGTGCTTGTCAGGGTCTCCGCCGTGAAGTCACCCTGTTCCCCCTTCCCATACTGCAGTCTCAGAAGGGAAGTCACTGTGCAGCCCCACGCTTCAGGGTCACGCTCCACTTCTTGATGGGGAGGAGCTACATAAGGGATGTGGAATTCTTCTGGATGGGATTGTGTCCATTCTTCCACATTTACCTATTTATTCAATTAATCACTTGTTTAGATCTGCACGGCTCAGGGATATTTAGTTCATACTTTGGGTTATAAACCAGTACCACTGTATTTATTTTGTTGCTCAAATTGTCCCAGCTTGGGCCATCAAGAGCTCTTTTGGTTGGTTCCTGTGTCCCTTTGACATAAGCTCACTCTGCTTTCTGAGCACTTCCTCATTTTCTGCTACTACAAGATGCTTCAGGCTCATCGTACGTGTTTTATGCCTCAGCCCTCAAAGCAGTCAATTCTTCAAAAAGCCCTGTTATTTTGTGGGGGTTTTTTTTCTTCCCTTTTTAAAAAAAAAAAAAAATTGGCATGTGATATTAGAAAGATCTGGGCACTGGGTGTTTTTGTTGCTACTGAAATGCTGTTGCTTGTAGATACTCTCAGCTGATAAAGCAAGGGAATGTTTAAGTTAAAAAAAAAAATTGGCATGTGATATTAGAAAGATCTGGGCACTGGGTGTTTTTTTGCTACTGAAATGCTGTTGCTTGTAGATACTCTCAGCTGATAAAGCAAGGGAATGTTTAAGTTATTTAAAAATAATTTATTCATGTAAAAGCAATGACTCTGCCTTAGGCTCCAGGCTGGGAGCTGAGGCAGTTAGTCAAGGTCCTGGTCTCTGGAATCCCGTGGTCTTGGGTGAGCAGGCGAGGGAAGCTGTGAGCTGCTGAGAGGGCACAGCGGAGCCACGTCTGGGTGCTAAGGGACGCGGGGCAGGTGCACCCACAGCAGCTGGGGTTGGGGGCATCTAGGGTGCTGTCTATTCTGGAATATGAGTTTTCCACATGGCTCATGGAGGAGGTGGAGAGGAGGTGCTAGGACCGTGGGCACAAAGATTGGGATTCATGACCCATGAGGGTTGCGAATTGGAAGGGGTTGAACATGCTGGGGTGGTGGGGGAAGAGCCTGAAGAGGAGCCAGGAAGAGCTGGAGAGACAGAGGCAGGCCTGCGGGACAGCCCAGGGCAGGACTCGGAGCCCAGACATGAGCTAGAGAGCAACAGGAGAGGAAGTCAGACGTGACGTGCATTTTAGGAAGGGCCACTCTGGGGTCTGGGTAGGTGGGTGGGGAAAGCTCATCAGCAGTTTACAAAACAAAGTCCCGCTCATGTTACCAGTTCTGGACAGGTTAAAACACTCCTGGTAGAGGTACTATTTCAGTAAATGTGCTGTACCTGGTACATCATTTAACAGGTGGATCTTTTTAAGCCAACAGTTTTATCTTCAATAATCAAAGTCATTTTTCTGTAATATCCATAAGCCCTTTTATTGGGTGGGATGACCCAGGCTTCACCCAGGGATTTCTTCAATTGACTGAGAAAGAGGTAAAATGTTGAAAGTACCAAGGCGGAATGGCTCCATTTCTCTTTGACAGAGTATACTTGACCAGACAGCATTTGGGGCTGCTCTGGACAGAAGCTGTGGTCAACCTTGATTCAGCTCAACTGGATGGGCATGTGTCCCTCCAGCAGAGACCCGCAAACACCCCAGAAGGTCCCCGCTCTCTGAGGGCAGAGAACAATTGTTGTCACATAACTAACTCCACCAGTTCATTGAGAATGCTTGGAGTTCTAGAATTATAATAAAGTCAATTCTTTAAAAAAAATTAACATATATAGTTTTTGCCCAGGTTTCTGGCTGCTTCCCTGGACATGAGAGATGCGAGCTGCTCCTCAGATGGGTCCCACATTCCCCCGAGCATCCACAGCGGGGTGAGCAGACTCTGCAGCGGGGACCAGCCCCCCAGCATGTCCCAAACCTTGTGGCCGCCTGCTGTCCCCGCTGTGGATGGGTGAGAACGAAGCCTTGATCAGAGCCACTGGAAGGTGGCCAATATCTTGTCCATAAAGAAGAAAAAAGTCACCTGGAGGGTGACCACACATGAAACAAAACCAAACAAAACAGCCTCCAACCTCAGGCCCAGCCGCATCAGAAGCGTCTCCAGAAACGGAGAAACGAGGCTGCTGCTTTGCTCCTGGTGAGGATTCGACTCGGAGAGAAATGGATTCAGTTGAAGTGAAGTGGCAGGAAGAGCTCAGTTTTGGCTGCAGAGTGAGATGGCACCGGCCCTGTCAGATGGGCGCTGGGAGCAGCCGCCACGGGGGCTGTTACCCCCTAGACAGGCGGTGACAGGCTGCCGTCGGGAGCGGGGCCTCCCAAGGAAGCAGCGCTCAGCTTTCCACTGTGAACCCACAAACACCCCGGAGCATCTTTCAATTTCTGGATCACAGGGGAGGCCGAGGACCCTAATGCTGGAGAGAAGGGTGGAAGCTGCAGCAGGACGGCCCCTGCAGGTCCTGCCCTGGGGGACATGGCCTCCAACCTAGAGCGGGCCTCCTAGACAGCCGCAGCAATGCTGGACACCAAGCCAGCCGCCACCATGCCCACCTGCAGAAGCCTGGGGCTGCCTGCCTGTCTGTCTGTTTATCCACCCTCCACCCAGTGTCCCAGCAAGTGTGGCTGCCACCTCGGCTGTCTTGTTCAGAGCCGGGAACTAATAGGGTCTCCGTGTGCAGCTAATTTCCATCTCCAGCATCAACGCAGTTAATTCAGAAGCTGATGTTTTTGACAAGATTTGTCATCAAGCCAAACGCGTCTGCCCCCTCACTTCCCTGGTGCTCTGTGATGACAGTAGGAAAGCAGAGCTGGAGCTGTCCCTTAGCTCAGAGGTGGCTTCTCCCTCCGGGCTGATGAGCACAGATGCCCTCCAGGAAGCAGCAGTGTGTCAACACCCAGCTCGTCTCCTGGCGACGGTGCAGCTGGACCTTTGAAACACCGTCCCAGCTTCCTCCAGCACATGCCCGGGCAGAGGTGTGACGGGGACACGATCAGTTATCCTGGTCATCTACTGCACTCACGAATGTGACTGACGAAGAAGGCACCCATGTGACCGCAATGCTGTCACATCTCTGTATGTTGTGTGGAAAACATGAGGTGGGTGTGGAGTGGCCTGTCCTGGCAGCTGCATGAAGGGACCCCTCCACTGACGGTTGCCCCCGGCTCAGGGTCCTGCTCGCTGGCCTCCCCCCGCAATGCTGTCACATCTCTGTATGTTGTGTGGAAAACATGAGGTGGGTGTGGAGTGGCCTGTCCTGGCAGCTGCTCGAAGGGACCCCTCCACTGACGGTTGCCCCCGGCTCAGGGCCCTGCTCGCTGGCCTCCCCCCGCCAGCCTGTCTCTCCCCCGCACACGCTGCAGGCCGGCCGGCCGGCCATGGCTAGCCCCCACTCTCCCTCTCCTGCCATCTCTGTCTCTCCTGTCTCCTCCTGTCACCCCTGGGCTCAGGGAAACTGACTGACGGCCCCAGCCAGGGGTGCAGACACCCATTGTCTCCTGAGTGGAGGGGTTCGTGCACCTTCCTCAGGCCTGTGCCCTCCTAGCTCCACCTCCAGGGCCCAGGTTGGACTTCAGCCCTTGCCTTGTTCACGAACCTGTCCAGCTTTGCCTGCCCTGCTCCCCCTCTCCAGCTCCCACTCCACCCACCTCCACGTGCAGCACAGCAAGCCCTCCCCCAGTGGACCCCTCTTCCAGAACATTCTCTTTCCCGCCACCCACTGTGTCTTCCACAAGCCCTAGTGGTGCTGATGCCATATGGACAGTCTTCATTGTGAGGACTGCCTGGCTGTCCTCTGTCCCTTCAAACACTCTCCTCTGCTGAACCCCCCTGCCCCGGCCTCTGCTGCACACACAGATGGGAAACAAAACATGGCTCCTTAGCCCTCTTGACCTGATTTTCACAGTGCATTCCTGTGTCTTCTATTTGTGGCTCTGGAGTCCCTGACAATTAGAGGCAGCTGTGGCTCAGGACAGTGACCAGGCATTGCGAGGAGGCTGTGTCCCCACCTCATCCTTGTCACCATCTCAG